GCATCAAGCCACTTTTTCGCAATCTCGAGGTCCTTTTTTTGTCATGTGTACTGCTAGATACACTCTTTGGGACAGTGCGATTGGTGTAAAAGAGATCCATCGTATGTCATAGAATTTTCAGCTACCTTTTCTTTAGCCTAATCTGCATTGCTCATGCAGTACACTGATTGTTGTGAAAACCAAAAATTGAAAGTCTAAAAATTTGCTGAACGTATATCATTTGCACAGAATGCGAGCGATCTGGCAAAATGGAATCCAGCCTTAAAAAAATTAAATTAACAAAAAAAAAAGGATCATAAAATTTCACTAATGAATGTATTTTAAGTAGGCGCGAAGAGATATAAGTGCTTACTGCCGCAAATTGATAATCTAAGATTTCTGAAGCAATGACTTCGGTTAGAGGTTTTATCTCGCCATATTTTGTTCCCTCTGTATAGGACTTGCGTTATTGGAATATCATTATCATCATACGAAAGCCTTGATCAAAGCATTCCCTCTGTATATAAGTACACAAATCATCTCATAAAATTTGACGTTCAATAAGAAATAAGTAATTGCAAGCGAGTACAGTAAGAAAATTGCAAGTATTGTATCCCGTTTTTCGATGATGCTGTAAGATGTCCCTTTTTCAAATTTGTCGTATTTCTAGAACGTTCTGCAAACCCAATATTTTCCAGTACTAGACTAACCATATATATTGTCTTTAGGTCACAATGCTACGATTACTTCCACGTGCAGCAACTACCGAGGCTCGAAGACATGGCGGAGGAGGATTTTATTCTGGAAAGAATTTTGATAACTATAAACAACATTACACGAAAATGTTGAAAGAAAGTTATGGTGGGTGAATCTCTAAGTTTATCCTAGGAATAAAAAAAGATTGTCCTAAAACATAATTTGCCAGTCAGCTTGCTTCATTAGGGATTGTTTGTCAAATTTTACTCTATAAGATAGTAGCAAACAGAATTTTTATTGACGAACTTTGGTAGTTTATTGTTTTTATATTTAGATGCAAAAATAACGTGGAAAAGGA